CTGGAAAAAAAAAAGAACTGCTAATGTAGCATTTTTTTTGTTTTTTCCGAGCTTCAAAATTTCCGGAAATTTTACATCTCTAGTCCCATCCAAAATAAGGTAAAGGTTCCCTTGCTCGAAAGCCAGTCGAGTCCAACTTTAGGGTTGCGGTGCTAATCTCCGTTTCAAAGCCGAAGAGCCAGCGCTGTCCGAAGACGTTTCTGTGGTCATGTGGCCGGCATGACTAAACACCAAGGCGCACGGAACGCTGTTCCCTTCCCACTGAAGTGGTACCTATTTATCTATTTGCAATGTCTTGGTTTTGAACTGCTAGGTTGGCAGGAGCTGGAATTAGAGACAGGAGCTCACTCCGTCATGCGGCACACTCGGGTCTCGAACTGCTGAACTACCGACCTTCCACAGCCTGCAGTTCAGCATCTTAACCACTTGAGCCACCGCAGCTCCTTAGTCCCATCCAAACATTTAGCTAAATGCAGGCCAAATAAGTAGAGATCACTCATTACCCCTGTATAGATCTATGGTGTGGCCTCATTTGGAATACTGTGTACAGTTCTTGTCACCGTATCTCAAAAAGGACATTGCAGAGCTGGAAAAAGTACAGAGGGCAACCAAGATGATCAAGGAGTTAGAGCGTCTTCCCTAGCAGGAAAGGCTGAAGAGACTGGGACTTTTCAGTTTAGAAAAGAGGCGACTAAGGGGAGACATGACAGAGATTTGTAAAATTACGCATGGGGTGGAGAGAGCGGACAAACAGAACTTTTTCTCCCTCTCCCAAAATACTAGAACTCAAAAGCATCCAGTGTAGCTGATGGGCAGTAGGTTCAGGAGGGACGGAAGGAAACACTACTTTACATAGAGAGTGATTCAAATGTGGAGTTCGCTGCCAGAAGATGTAGTGATGGCCACAGAAATATATGGCTTTAAAAGGGGATTAGATAGATTCTTGGAAGGTAAGTCTATCAATGGCTACTGGGGACTGAGAGGAACTTCCACATTCAGAGGCACTAATCTTCTGAATCCCAGAGCCAGGTGGCAACATCAGGGGAAGGCCTCGGCCTCTATGCCCTGTTGTTGGCCGTCCAGAAAAACTCATTGGCCATCATGTGCGACAGGAGGGTGGACTAGATGGACTTTTGGTCTGATCCAGCAGGGCTCTTCTGATGTTTTCAGCCTCCGTGCCCTGTTGTTGGCCCTCCAGAGGAACTGGTTGGCCACTGTGTGAAACAGGATGCTGGACTAGATGGACCACTGGTCTGATCCAGCAGGGCT